CAGGGGTGGCACCGGGGGGGCGATGGCTCCGGGGGTGGCGACAGCTCTGGGGGTGGCACCGGGAGGGGACGAGCTCCGGAGGTGGCATTGGGGGAGGGGATGGCTCCGGGGATGGCTCCGAGAGAGGTCGGCTCCAGACCTGGCACTGGGAGGGGACGGCTCTGGGGGTGGCACCGGGGAGGGGACGGCTCTGGGGGTGGCACTGGGAGGGGACGGCTCTGGGGGTGGCACCGGGGGAGGGACGGCTCCAGGGGTGGCACCAGGAGGGGACGGCTCCGGAGGTGGCACCGGGAGAGGTCGGCTCCAGGCCTGGCACTGGGAGGGAACGGCTCTGGGGGTGGCACCGGGGGAGGGGACGGCTCTGGGGGTGGCACCGAGGAGGGGACGGCTCCGGAGGTGGCACCGGGAGAGGTCGGCTCCAGGCCTGGCACTGGGAGGGGACGGCTCTGGGGGTGGCACCGGGGGAGGGGACGGCTCCAGGGGTTGCACCGGGAGGGGACGGCTCCGGGGGTGGCACCGGGGGGGGGGCGATGGCTCCACGGGTGGCGACAGCTCTGGGGGTGGCACCGGGGAAGGGGACAGCTCTGGGGGTGGCAGAACTGCTGGGTTTATTCCCAAACAAAGCACCCACCCCCTGGCCGTGAGAGCGAATCAAGCAGCCTGTTTATCTGTAGGACTTAGAGGAATGGGGGCGGGGGGGCCTCTCTGAGACCGGTTTTCCCCCCGCGTGGTTTATTTGTGGAGAACAGACAGGTTGAGCCCGGTCCCTCCGGGTCACCTGGAGCCTGGCCGGGCTCGGTTCTTGGCTCTCCGGCTGGACCCACACGGCCGGCTGCCTGCGGGTGGGGGCTGTTCATGGTCGCTCGGTACCAAATGTCCCGGTGACTGGCTTTGCCATTGTCTGCAGAGACCCAGGACAGCCCGGCGCTGGTCCCCCCTGCATCGTGCCCGTCCCGAGAGCGAACCGCCTTTTCCCACCATGCTGCGTAGAGGGGGAAACTGAGGCACGCACAGTCTTCATAGAAAATGTTCCAGAGAATTCCCATCCTGTCACAACGGCTCTGGGGCGGGCAGCTCCAGCCGTGGGGTCCCGCGCATGGCACGAGGGGTGGACAGCGTCCTGTCTTTGCAGAGGAGGGGACGGATCCCTCAAGCTTTGCGGGGCGCTGAGTCCCGAGGGGAAGGAAGCCAGTGTCAGGTCCTGTGCCGGCGGCCTGGGCACTGCTCCTCACGCCCCTGCTCCCAGCACAAGGCCCTGCTCTGCCCCGGGCCCTGCCCTCTGTCCCGGCCTGGCCGGGGTGGCACCGGGGGGGGCAGGGGGCCCCCGTGGGCCATGGCGCTGGGCTGAGGGGTGAAATAGTCCAAGTTGATGAGCACGTAGGGGGCGGAGAAAGAGTTGCGCCGGCCCGGCAGCCCCTGCTGCACCCACAGAGTTATGGGGGTCTCCTGGTAATGCAAGACGAGCATTAGGGAGGGGGACCTGCCCCACGTACCGCTCCCCCTAGGGCAGAGCCCCCCACTGCACCCCCCACAGAGACTGCAAGCTCCCAGCATGCCAAAGGCCCCTCTGTGCCCCCCGGAGGCTGCAAATCCCATCATGCAGTGGGGCCCAGCTGAGCCCCACTGAGACTACAACTCCCAGCATGCAATGGGGCCCAGCGTTCCCCACGGAGACGGCAAACTCCCAGCATGCAGCAGAGACCAGCTGACAGCAAACCCCACTCCGGCCGCAGGGCATAGGGGTTCAGTTGTGCCCCACAGAGATTGCAAACTCCCAGCATGCAACAGGGCCCAGCTACCCACCTGTGCCCCTCGGGGGCTGCAACTCCCAGCATGCAATGGGGCCCAGCAGAGCGCCATTCCCCATGCCAGCCCAAGGAGACTACAGCTCCCAGCATGCAATGGAAGCCGCGCTGGGGGCTGCCATGGAGCAGGGCATCCCACTGCACCATGGGATACGTAGTCCCAGGGGGTTGCCATTCTGCACGCTCCCTGGGGCAGGGTCCGTGTGCTGGGGGGCTCAGGCCGCAGCCAGGACCCGTACCCCATAGGGGCCCTGCAGGACCCAAGCTGTGGGGGCACGGCAGGGGCAGGTCTGAGCCGAGCGGCGGGCGAGGAAATGAAAACCGGGGTGGTTTCCTGTTTAGTGACGCTGCAGCCGATGTTTTCCAGCAGGCGTCTAGGGTGGGGGGGGTGTGAATAGACATGTGGGGGCTGGGCCCATCTGCTCTGCAGAGTCCTGGGGCGGGGGGGTGGCTAATGCCTGTGCCCCCACACACACACGGGGGCTGGCTGGTACTGACCCCTCTGCCCCATGGAGGACTGGCCACGGTGGCCTTGGTGCCCCAGGCCAGGAGACAAAGTGCATGAGGTGTCCCCCCTCATCCCACCCCCCAGCCCCGTGGAGAGCAAGGCGGGGTCACCTGAGAGCTGGGCAGGTTGGGGTGGGGATGAGAGACCTTCAGCTTCCTAGAGAGAAAGAGAGGGGGTACAGTGAGGGAGTGGGGAGAGAACCCAGGTGTCCTGGCTCCCAGCCCCCCCCCCGGCTCTAACCCACCAGCCCCCACTCCCCTCCCAGAGCCGAGGAGAGAACCCAGGAGTCCTGGCTCCCAGCCCCCCCTGCTCTAATCACCAGCCTCCACTCCCCTCCCAGAGCTAGGGAGAGAACCCAGGCGTCCTGGCTCCCAGCCGCCCCCCCCGAAGGCAGGTGTGTCCTGTCCCTTCCCTTGCCCTGCTGTGGGGGTTGCTGGGATCGGGAGGGGGGTGTCCACATCTCCTACCTGCGCCTCCTTGTCCACTCCC